CTGCAAGATGTTCGCAGGATTGGGGCCTATAAAGGCACATTGGGAACATCTTATAATAAAGGCTTCAAGTCTTTCACAGGGATCACGGATTCCGTGACTTTCTGGGACCTCTGTGACTTCTGCTGCTTCAGTGGCTGGCACGGCTGACCCCAGGGCCACCCAGGCTGCCCCCACCTCCCACCCCCGCCGCATCGGCGGCAGTGGGGCCCTGAGCCACCCCCTGCCTGGCGCAGCAGCATATGCTGGGGCACCCTCCCTCCTCCAGCGCCTAAGATTTAGTTAAGGGTATTTTTAGTAAAACTCATGGACAAGTCACTGGCTGTGACTTTTTGTTTATTGCCCGTGACCTGTCCATGACTTTTACTAAAAATCCCCGTAACTAAATTGTAGCCTTCCTAATAATGGATCCGATGTCTGGTGCTCACCTTTCTGGTTCCTGTGGCTTTCAACACAACTTCAGTAATTCCCAATAAAGACCAAGCAATGTATTACAAATGTTTTTCAAATTATAAAAGAATCCAGCAATCTTGATTTTTTAAAAAAAAAGTTATTGACTCTCAAACCCTTAATATATTAGGCATGTGCTACCAGTGATTTATACTTTCCTAAATAATGAAATCTGTTATTGTACTTTGGGGGATCAAATTTAAGATCAAAATATTGGAGGCGAGAGAGACATTCTAGGATTTTAACTGCTTCTTAGAAGTCAGCTTCTGCCATCAGAACAGCTCCAGCATGTAATGCATAAGCTGTGGCTCACGAAAGCTCATGCTCAAATAAATTGGTTAGTCTCTAAGGTGCCACAAGTACTCCTTTTCTTTTTTGGAAACTTACAGTCACAATTAACAAACCCCATCTGTGGCATGGCACTTTATGTGAAACCTATTAACATCACATTTGATGTATATCAGTTCTACAGTGTGTATATATATACCAAGACTATATTTATATAAAATCTTGGTAAGATCACGCTAGTCCAGTGTGTTAAATCTGTCCTTAAAACTGGAAAGAGGCATGCAGATTAGCAAAACAAGAATTCTTGAGGTTCTGCTCTAACATACACGCACAATTCCTGTAGGGCAAGTGACTGTGCTGTGGTATGGCCCTTTGTGGGAAGTCCTCCCATTTTATGTGCCTGGCCCTATTTTGTTGTGGCTGCCCTTCCATTCTGAGTGACCTCCATGGATCTTGACTTGCATGGTGAATTCATAAGCAGAAACATTTAGAATAGAGGTAATTTAAATTGCTTACGAGTGAATCACACACAAAACCTAAGGCTACACAATTCATACCTGCTGGCAAAATTCGGCCCTACGTAACTCCAAGTCTGGATACAAACCATTCTATTTCTTTGTGCTCTCAAAAACGTTCTCTTGCAATTACGAGTTCAAACCAAACACAGTATACACACTGATTAGAGCTATCCCCTGCCACTAGCAGATTTTTTGTTGTTGTCCGTGGAACTTAAGGACCACATAAGAGCTTTCACTTTACCAACTATGAAATGGATTTATTTTATCTTTTCTTTGGATGTCTGTCTACTCCTTAGCGTGATTTATTTTTCTTGTTCATGTGAAAATACAATCTGCTACTGCTGAAAATGAGCTGTTTGGCTTATCTCTGGTTGAGCGCTGAGGTGCTGTGTCACTTTGCTATCATTCCAATCACTGCCACGCAAGCCACTTGGCAATGTTCCTGGGCTGCAGACAGATATATGCAGTTTTAATTAAGCCAGAAGAAGCTAAATAATGGAATTGTCTCCTGGGATTTATTTATAGCCAACTTCTGCAGAAATGTCACTTCAATATTAATTTTCATTTTTTGATGCTGAGGATTGATACTAGCACCGGGTTTTGCTTTTAATCCTAGTTCATGCCAGTTATATGGAAACTAGTCAGCTTTGTGCCTAGATCTCAAACTTATGCCATGTGTAGTTGTGGATGCTGCACGTAAGTTATCGTTTCTGTTATATATGTCTAATTTCAGGAATTCACCACTTATGCATGAAATGTTTCAGGGCTGAAATCTGTCATAGAACTATTGTCTGTATATAAGCATATCTGTTTTAACCACAATGAAATAACTGAGGCTTAAATCCAGCGTACATAAGTGAAAATGAGTTGGATAGTTCCAGCCCTCTCCCTGGTGAATGTACATCCCAAACCTGCTACCCAACTTGACATGAATTGTCACCTCTTGTGATCAAAAGCTCAGGGTTGCAATAGCAGAAGCAAATGGCAGCTGAAGAATTGGGAGCACTGTCACACTATCCCTGGCTCCAACAATGCAAGTCCCTCATTTCTTGAGCATGCAATCCCTTGGTTTGTTCTTCTGGGAAAAAGAAGTGTTAACAGGTATCACTCTGTCTGGAGTGGCTCATCACTGTGAGTGACTATCTGAGGGCAGACTATCTGAAAACAAGGGCAGACACCGCAAACTGTGGTGGTATGTTCTATAATTAGTTTTCACTAAGCCAGTAACAAATGTGAACTCCTGGATCACTGTACCAATCTTACCATGGAGTCACAGACAGTTCCTTTAGCCTCTCCAACCTATGTTGCCACCCAGACAAACTGAACTTTGTGATAAAAGGTTACTTAAACCTAGGTTTCAGAGTAACAGCCGTGTTAGTCTGTCTTTGCAAAAAGAAAAGGAGTACTTGTGGCACCTTAGAGACTAACCAATTTATTTGAGCATGAGCTTTCATGAGCTACAGCTCACTTCATCGGACGCATCCGATGAAGTGAGCTGTAGCTCACGAAAGCTCATGCTCAAATAAATTGGTTAGTCTCTAAGGTGCCACAAGTACTCCTTTTCTTTTTACTTAAACCTAAAATCAAACCACATTAGATTGCTCCCAGTCCCAAAGGACCAGCCCGTTACCCCAGATCAACTGATACTCCAGATCTTACACCAAAGACAACACTGGCAGCCAATTCTATAGTAAACTAACTATAGCTAAGAAAAAAGAATGAGAGCTATTGAGAGATTAAAGCAGGTAAAACATAATCAGTAAATCAAAGTTTGTAAATCCAAAATGATAGCAGAGGTGTAGTAATCTGCCAGTTTCCCAAAAATCTTTTCAGGGCTACCCAGAATAACTCTGGGGGATCTCCATCTTCTTGTTCAGTTATTCTACGCCATTAGAAACCAAACAGTCCAGAGACAAAGGATCTCTTTCAGTCAGTACTTATGGCTTCTTTTCATAGACAACAATCTGGCAAGTGTCTGTACGCACACAATGGCTAGTTGCTTTGAATTTAGCACTCTTCTTCATTTGAATTCGATGAGTTATTTAGTTACAGGGATATAGATAATGTAAATGTCTGCCATTACATTATCATAGGAATAGACAAGTGAAAACAATACAAGTAATGTTCCATTAGTTTTCATGAAGTACTAACACCTGAAGGCACTCTGACATTAACACACACTTTGGTCTAAGGTTATTTAATTACCAGGCATGCATAATGTAAATGTAATGTAATAGTAAACAGCAGGATAGAGAGAGGTGAAAACAATACAATTAACATCTCCTTTGATCTCTATTAACACACTAGTGAATTGGCCTGAACATATACTAATACATTTAACTCCTTTGATATTAGCAAAAAGAAAAGGAGGACTTGTGGCACCTTAGAGACTAACCGATATATTTGAGCATAAGCTTTCGTGAGCTACAGCTCACTTCATCGGATGCAAAGCTTATGCTCAAATAAATTGGTTAGTCTCTAAGATGCCACAAGTACTCCTTTTCTTTTTGCAAATACAGACTAACAGGGCTGTTACTCTGAATCCTTTGATATTCACACTCAATTGAATTGGCCTATGGCTCTGGCCTGAGCTGGTCTGTCAGCATCACAACAGGGAAGTGAAAAATAAGTTAGAGGTGCATGTTTTCAGGTGTTGTGTTGTGCTTTTGTAACTCACGCATTTTCTGTAGTGCCGTGAGGCTGCCATGTATGAGACAACACCATAACGTGGACAACTGCCTTTCGGGTTCTCAGGGAGCAAGGAAGGGGCTCAGCACTTTTAAAGAATTGACACTGCATATGAATACCTTTCTTTCTATGGAATTTCTCAAGGGTGATAATGTTGAGAGCTAAGGGCTGAAACTGTCCATGACCTTACACCTTGTGTAGTCATTTGCATCTTACAGGATGGGTGACAAATAATGCTACCAGGTGTCAATCAGACTTTGCACATTGTAAAGCAATGGGGGTTTGGACCTTTGTTGCCCTGATGAGGCAAACCTCAGACTCCCTCAGCATGGAGCAGAGTGTGCCTTTGACACAAAAACAGACCCGTAGTTTGTTTGCCCATAGCTACGTTGGCACACTCACTTCCTTGCATGGCATAATATGCTGAAACAACTGAAGATGCTGAAATGCTGTCAGAAATCTTCACAAGCAGTGATTCTATTCACAGATTCTGTTCCAGTTAGAATGCAATGGGTGACATAGGGTCAGAACCGCAGCTGTTATGAATTGATGTAGATCCATTGACCTGAATGGAGTCATGCCAGTTTATACCAGCTGAGGATCTGGCCCACATTCTGACCTTCTTTGAACCTTTTTTGTGGTGAGGAAGCTAGGAATCTCATGGCAGGGGTAAGGAGAGTAGGGGACAGACTGGATTTCTGTGACACTTCCAGTACACTCTGGTGTTGGCAATAATTCAGAAAAAACCTGGCATTTTGGTAAAGTGTGGAAATAGACATGAAAGAACTTTAAAACTACCACCAAGTTAATAGCTATTTTCAATGGTAATTTCTTTGGCTTGTGCCTCTCTTCACAATGGGCCTGGACTACACAGGACATTCCACAACCCACCTGTTTATTGTGAATTTAGCTCAGGGTTCTCAAAGCAAAGCATAGTAGAAATATATATTTTAAAATGTAATTAAAATCTTCACCAAAAAGGCTCTTGCAACATTGAACAGAACTGGAATATTAAGTTAACCTAGAATCTTCCCTTTATGTCCTCCATTGGTTCTCCAGATTATTTTGCTGATCATATGGGAGACTATGAAGATGTTTTGGCTTCGCTGGAGACCCTTAACCTCTCCATTCTGAAAGCCATGGACTACACCAAGCGGGTGAGTCGTTGTTATTATTATTGTAGCTTATGCTATGCACGAGAGTGTGGCTAGATAAGTTTTCTCCAAGCTCATGGGTCTAAAGTAGGCATGGTTAATACTTTTCTTGTAGTCATTTTCACTAAGGGTAAGTAGGATAGTAGCAGAAACATTATCAAAGTAACAACACCAGGGACTTTGTCATCAGAGTGAACAGTGTGTTTTGAGATGGCCTTGTAGGAAACAAGTGCCATTGTGTTACTGTTACCGTAGATAAGGAGTTCGAGAGGCAAATCTTAAACGCCCATGGGATAAAATTGTAAGCCTGATCATGCATGCAAATTATGAAAATGTTGCCTAAAAATAATCTATCAGTATAAAATACCTTCACTGGGTTATCTGCTCTGTTTTAGAAAGATCTGTCTTATACATTAGCTAATGATTGTCTTTATATAAAGTGTCTGCCTTCTACCAATATCTAGAAGGCATTTGGCATCACAGGAATATAGAAAACAAATGAGTTTATAAAAACCATTCATTTTTATTCTAAAAAGCCCTTAGTGGCCAAAGCATCAGCAGTTTAGATATCAGGGTTTTAAAATGGAAAATAAATTATCAGCTTGTGTCATCAAATGGCTATATATGTATAGGCTTACGTATTGCCAATGCTGCAAGCTATATTGTAAAAGCTGATGACTGGAGTTGTTTCTAAACCCTAGTTTAGAAACAGTCTTGAATTCTGCAGCATGTGAAAAATTATCTGTTAGCATCTCAAAGGCAGAACTCTTTACAGTGTCGCAGACAAAGGTCCATTAAACTTCTCCCGGTGGATTTCTTCCTTCTGCTCCATTCAAGCACATCATTTTATCACCACCATCCTAAACTCTCGCTCAGAAGACTGCCTGAATAATGAAAAGATTAAATTTGATGCATCAACTGCAATGCATGCTTGATGTCAGTGGAGCAACTGATTGGTGAGGTCTCAGCCCCACTTAGCAAGATGGTTGTCTCTCGCCATCTGATTTAAAGTAACAGGAGCATTGTAATAACATGTTCAGAGCGGCCATTGCCTGTTAACATCTTGTAAATCTTGAAAGCCCTAGGACAGTTTACGAAATCAAGGTGAAAATTACACATGAAGTAAATGATGGCATAAACATTTTGTTGCAAAGAGTTGTACCTTTTCAGCAATCTTTCTGGAAATATCTGAATGGTCTCAACTGGACTATGAGTTACTTTGTTTTTCCAGCAGAACATAAAACGCTGCAGTCGCACCCAAGGAGCACCCAATTAGACATCTGTAGTGGGATTTTCAAAAGGGCTAGCCTTGGCCTAGCTTTCATTTCATCAACGTCACTATTTGAAGTCCCGTTGGCTTTTTTGGGAGCAGAGTTGCACCAACTCTGGGTGCTCTGAAAACCTCACCTGAAATTCCATTCTTTGATCTTTCAGTTAATATCTACTGCAAAATTAGAAGCCAGTATTGCTTTCAAAAGTGTGGCCATTTATGTCCTCTGTCTAATGCAATAGAAGCCAGAGGGCTTTGTGTTAAAAGACTGATGAGAATGGCTTGGGGAATAAGTACCATTGTGCATGAATTGCCAAAATTGAATTAACCATAAAAGCTGATGGCCACAGAAATATACATTTTTGTATATGCAAATGGGGCTCCATTTTGTATAAATTGTGTCCCACAATATACTTCGACAGAGCAATTAATAAATAATAGATTATTAAAAAGTGTAACTAATCTTAAAGGATGCTAAATTTTATTTATAAATATCTGGAAAACCTGATCTATATAGTATAAGTCTCAGAGAAACACATACATACAGAAGTTGGTCATTTATCTAGCACTTTACTGTGCAATAGAGAACTATCTAGAGATGTGGTTTTCCCTTTATATCATTTCTCTTGTCTTCCTTCTAATAAACCAGAAATGACTATTATTTTTAAAATGTATTAATCCTTCTACAGTTACAAACTTCCCCATTTGAATTAATAGAATCATAAAATATCAGGGCTCGAAGGGACCTCAGGAGGTCATCTAGTCCAACCCCCTGCTCAAAGCAGGACCAATCCCCAACTAAATCATACCAGCCAGGGCTTTGTCAAGCCTGACCTTAAAAACCTCTAAGGAAGAAGATTCCACCACCTCCCTAGGTAATGCATTCCAGTGCTTCACAACCCTCCTAGTGAAAAAGTGTTTCCTACTATCCAACCTAAACCTCCCCCACTGCAACTTGAGACCATTACTCCTTGTTCTGTCATCTGGTACCACTGAGAACAGTCTAGATCCATCCTCTTTGGTACCCCCTTTCAGGTAGTTGAAAGCAACTATAAAATCCCCCCTCATTCTTCTCTTCCTCAGACTAAATAATCCCAGTTCCTTCAGCCTCTCCTCATAAGTCATGTGTTCCAGCCCCCTAATCATTTTTGTTGCCCTCCGCTGGACTCTTTCCAATTTTTCCTCATCCTTCTTGTAGCATGGGGCCCAAAACTGGACACAGTACTCCAGATGAGGCCTCACCAACGCCAAATAGAGGGGAATGATCACGTCCCTTGATCTGCTGGCAATACTCCTACTTATACAGCCCAAAATGCCGTTTTCTGGGCAACAAGGGCACACTGTTGACTCATATCCAGCTTCTCATCCACTGTAACCCCTAGGTCCTTTTCTGCAGAACTGCTGCCTAGCCACTCGGTCCCTAATCTGTAGCAGTGCATGGGATTCTTCCGCCCTAAGTGCAGGACTCTGCCCTTGTCGTTGTTGAACCTCATCAGATTTCTTTTGGCCCAATCCTCTAATTTGTCTAGGTCCCTCTGTATCCTATCCTACCCTCCAATTTATCTACCACTCCTCCCAGTTTAGTGTCATCTGTCAATTGTAAATTTATTACATAAATTCCAGAGAGATAAATAGTCTGCCTTTTCTCCTATGAGAAGTTATTCAGTATGCTGAAAGTTGAGCAAAGTAAAGATGTTCTACTTTTTTTTAATAAAGCATCCTGACCTGTTCACAGACTGAATTCCAATTCTCCTCTTAATAATCCAAATCGAAATCTTCCTTACATTTATCTTTAGAGTTAGAGGAAACCTTGAATCATGTAATGTTATAGATTTGGTAACAACAGGACATTTTAGGAATTGGAATAGGGTCAGGTAGCATCAGTGTGTTACTCAGCATTGTCTTTTCTTTGCTCTGGCTACTAAATAAAAGTCATGAAAGCAAAGACATTTATTTGATATATTTATGTTAAAATGAAGACATAACCTTACAGCCAGACATGTTGCTAGCATTTACAAGATTTTTTGTATTAATATTGGTAGCTCATAGAGCAAGGTGAATAATGGGAAAAAATTCAGCAAAATTTTAATAAAATGTTTTAATTAATTTGCTTCAACTCTGTGCACGCATCTCTTTTATATTTTCTCCTGCAAATGTTCAAGCAAGCAAGTTTACCAGCAGGAATGTGTGCTGAAATACAAGTTCTAGGTGAATGTTAAAGTTCTCATGGAAAGCAATTTCAAAGTAATTCATTTTATCTATATACCCATGGCTCTTGTTCGGTGCTTAATTTGTAATGAAAGAGGTGCTGGTGCTCAGTCAAATAGGTGTTGGGGCTCAAGCAACAGTTTTATGTTCATAAGTGACGCGGCAAGCCCAGAGGTGCTGGGCTATCGAATGCCAAGCTTAGAGGTGCCAGGGCTGAGCCCTGGCACAAATTAAGCACTGCTCTTGTTACATATCTGAATGCATATTTCTCGATTTATCCTCCCAACACCTTGTGATGTAAGGAAACATTTTACAGGTGAGGAACTGAGGCACATAGTGATTAATTGAGCTGCTCGGGATCATACTAGGAAATGAACCCAGTGTCCCGAGTCACAGACCAGCACATTAAACAGAAGACCATCCTTTCCCCTGTCTGCAAATATTCATACCAGAAACTTGAGTCCTAAGAGTTTTGTTCATTTGATCAGGTCACATGCTACGTTTCTCTTCCCAGGGTGTCCAGTCAAAACAATTCATAATTTGGGTATCAATTATTGGAACGGCTGATGAGCAAACACAACATACCAAGAAAGAGCTCTTCACAGAAATGATTTGGTGAATAATGAATGAAATTAAGAATAACATGAGCTCCTTGCAGAAAATTTTTGAACTGAGAAAAAAGCAAAACTCATCAATGAATTATTCATAAAATATTCTCTCAGCTCTAAGCTGTTTTCTAGGTAGATTTAAAAAACAACACTATCCTGCAGTGGCTGGGTTTTTCGAGCCTGTCTCTGTGGATCCCACTTGTGGTGGTGGTTCATACATGTGAGATGGAAATCTTTTGACCTCCCCCCGGCATTCCTTATCTAGGAGTTTGGGTAGGGCCTGAGTATGAAGGTAATACTGGGTATTTGTGAGAAGCTCGTGTGAGTGTTCTGTGAGGGGAAATCTCCCTTTGGTTGCCAGGAATTCAAGCTAGAGCCCACCTTGAAAATTACCCTCACAGAGCACCTGGACACACTCCTCACAAATACCCAGTATTTCCCTGGCAGACATCGCCCTGGTACTCAGCACCTGCCTACACCTAACCATGCACACCATCAGTGGGACCCACATGACAAACAATCCCAAAGAAGCACCATCACTGTAATGTAACTGTTCTTTTTCATGTTGCCTGTATGTATGATTTGTTGTGGTCTTTTCTTCCGTCTGAGACTTTGATTAGAGAGAAATGTCACAATGAAAGTGAGGCCACTCCAGGAAGAGGTACCTCTGGCTGCCTCCCTATCTGTGTGCGTGTACTGAGATATGCTCTCTAAAGCAAATTGAGTTGGTGAAAATGCCAGGAGATGAATTTTTATGCCTTCAGGGACTTGTTATGACCAGTTTAATTGCAGGGAAGCTCAATTACATTGTAATGTTCTGAAGGAGGATTTCACTGCTAACAAGTTTTTTGAATTGAGCCAGTGTCTCTCTACAAACTTGTTACCCATTGATTTGCTCCTGCATAGCTGGTGCGAGT